GTTTTTAAAAGCCTCAGGAATCTTTTGCAGGTGTTTAGAGTTACGTCGTTGATTCAGATGTTTAGGTTAATAGCTTGTTTAGAGAACCTTTTCATGATATGCTAATTTTTTGGGACAGACATTTTGGGTTTTCATGAGCTGTATGCCATAATCATCAGTATTAAAACAATTAAAGACCTGAAATATTTCAGTTGGTGTGCAATGAATCTGAAATATATTAAAGTTTCATTTTTATCTTTACATTATGGAAAATAATGACCTTTTTCACAATATGCTAATTTTTTGAGAAGGACCTGTATTGTCTGTCCAAACAGGTCTCTCTTGTAAATGAGTCTTCGGGCTCAATGTGATTTATCTGTTTAAATAAAGGTTGAATTAATGAAAAAAGAAGCAGGTAAAAGATGGATACTTGCTTTTTCCTTATCGTTTCACTGGTGCTCATGTCCATCAATCACTGTGCGAGAGGCGGGGGACACCCTGGACAAGTCTCCTGTCCATCACAGGGACACATAAGAGACAAATGAGACAAACAACCATTCACGCTTTCTCACCTAGAGTCAATTCAGAGTTACCAGTCAGTCTAACATGCATGTTTTTGGTCTGTGGGAGGAAACCAGAGTACCTGGAGAAAACCCATGCAGCACAGAGAGAACATGCAAACACTACCAAGAACCCCCCCCCCCCCCCCCGGCCGGGATCTGGTCTGGCTACATTCTTGCTGAGAGGCGGCAGCTCTACCAACTGTGCCACTCTGCCGCCCATTTGCTCTCTTGTTTAGATTATTTTTCTAATTGGTATTTTAATATACGTAGATGTTTTTGTGTGTTGCTCTGATATGATGCTTGTTGTGAGTTGTTGCTATATAATCAATCTGTACACCGATGTCCCCCGATGCTGAGGGATTTGAATCTGGAATATTTGTTCTTATTGAGATGAGTGTTTTTCTGGATTGAAGGTGAACCTTAATGTTTTTGGTTCAATATATTAATGTGGGTAGGAGTTACACTGTGGAGATGTTAGGTTTTTATTTTTATTGTTTTTTGCTTGTCAGTTGCAGTGTAGACATATCCTGGTGAGTGGAGGGAACAATTTTATCCATGACCAGGTACAATGGTGGCGCCAGGGGGTGGCCAATGGTGGTCTTGGTCACCATTAATTATTCTTACCTCAAGGGCCACCCCAGTCATTTGATGAAAATAATTTAAGCAATATATAAACTAGAAAGTATAATTTCCTCAAATGATGTAGGTGGCCACTTTACCCAGTTTTTGATTGTGATCTTTCTAACGCCTACATGCTGCCACACATCAAAATGGAAGTTGGTCTCTTTTATTTTTCAAGTTATCATTCTCAAGATGGACAGATGGAGGGTATTTCCAATTCCCCACTTTGCTCCACAACATATACTCAAAAGGCTTGAATTTCTTGTGAGATCTACTTTTTTGTTATTTACAAGGTTCAACCAAAACAGCTGTAACTTTGTCTTTTTTAAAAAGATGATCGTTGTCTAAACATCTGTCATAAAAGACTTCAAAAAGATATGCATTCCTTGGGAATGCTAGGTCTTCAATTGAGTTTTATTTTATTTATTTTTTATTTCTAAATCTAAAAAAGTTAAATCTGGTCCTCTGGACATTCAAAAAAACAAAACAAAGCAAATCAACAAAAAAATGTAGAAACGTTTCGTCTCTCATCCGAGAGACTTCCTCAGTCTGAGGAGCTGTATTCAGCTCAGTCTCTTAAATAGCACCGTCTCAGAGTGGATCAACCAGTTTTGCTGCTGGCAACCAAAACCAGCTGATCACATGCTCAAGAAGGACCATCAGCCTAACAATGGATCATTAGCACACTGATGGCTGTTTACTATTCACAGAGGGCTGAGTGATACTAGCAATCACAGCATTGTAAGAGGGGGACAGTTGAACCCGGAGGCCTCCACCCCTGTTTTCTGAATGTCCAGAGGACCAGATTTAACTTTTTTAGATTTTTCTACCTGGATTATTGAGCATGCATCAGGATATTTTTTATTTCATTTTTCTGCTCAACAGAGAAGAAGCCCAACTACTTGAAGGCTCTGTCTAACATCATCACTAAGCTCCCGAAGCAGATCCAAGTCTCCGAGCTGCCAGCGGTGAGTTCCACCAGTCATTTCTGTAAAACTAAAGAATGATGGCTGATGCTTCTAATCCCACATTCAGCTGATGTCGCTGCTGCTAGAGGCTTTAACGTGCTCCGATCAGGGCGTGCAGCTGGCCACTCTGTCCAGCCTGGAGCCTGCCCTCCTGGACCCCCCACCAGTTTTCATCCAGCAGCTGGAAGCTTTGGTCAGCAGATTACTAACCCTCGTCTCTAGTCCGGCCATGGTGAGTTGCACTGATCCCAGGAGGTAAAAGGTGACTGAGAGATAAGAAGACAACGTGCCTGATCTCTGTGTCTTCATTGTTTCTTGTCTTCACAGAAAATACGGATCACCTCAATACGCTGCATCCACGCTCTGTCACAGTTTCCTGTACATGAGGTACTCCAGCAGTTCATATGTTCAGGAACAAGATCTTAAGTTGCACTGTCTGGCCAAAAAGAAAAAGGTCACACACTAATATTTGGTTGGACCACCTTTATCTTTGATTACAGCATGTATTCTCGGTGTCATTGTTTCACTAAACTTCTACAATGTCACAAGATCTATTTCATCCAGTGTTGCATTAATTTTTCACCAAGATCTTACATTGATGACTAGGCCCTAGGCATGATGGGTGCATCACTTCACCTGCCTCTCTTCTTACCCTGATGCGCCCATCACTCTGGAACAGGGTCAATCTGGACTCATCTGGTCTGATGACCTTCTTCCATTGCTCAAGAGTCCAATCTTTATGTTCCCTATCAAATTGAAGCCTTTTTTTCCAGTTAGCCTCACTGTTTAGTGGTTTTCTTAAGGCTACACAGCTGTTCAGTCCCAATTCCTTGAGTTCCTTCACATTGTGCGTGTGGAAATGTTCTTACTTTCACTATTAAACATAGCCCTGAGCGCTACTGTTGTTTTTCTTCCATTTGATTTCACCAAACGTTTAAGTGATCGCCGATCACGATCATTCAGGATTTCTTTCCGGCCTCATTTCTTCCTCAAAGACGATGGGTCCCCACTATCTTCCAGTTTTTAATAATGCGTTGGACAGTTCTTAACCCAATGTTAGTAGTTTCTTCAATCTCCCTAGATGTTTTCTCTGCTTGATGCCAATGATTTGACCCTGCTCCAACAGACTGACATCTTTTTCACGACCACGCGATGTGTCTTTAACATGGTTGTTTAAAAAATGAGAAGCAAATCATTGCACCGGTTGGAGTTAAATAACTTGTTGCCAGCTGAAAGATAATCACCCATGCAGTAATTATCCAACAAGAGGCTCGTACCTATTTGCTTATTTGCTTATCCAGGTGGTGACTTTTTTTGGCCAGGCAGTTACTATAAATGTGTTATTTTTATTTATTTATTTTTATTTTTAATGTCTTTCACCTTCACTCAAGTAAAACTGAACTTTGAAGCCAGTAATTCCAATCCAACCTGATTGTAAAGCACCACAGCAGAACAAACTGCTGTGCAGAGTCAATATTAGGACATGGCTCACAATACAAAATACAATCAAAATAAAATCAGGTAATAAAATATGTCAAAGCTGAGTAAACAATAAAATAAAGACAAAGAAAAATCAGGTAAAAATAAAACAATAATTTGGTTCTTGTATCTAAACATCACATGTCACTTGTTCAATTTTAATAATTATCCATTTTTCCACACAGTCTCTATTTAACAAAACTTCTTAACTGGTTAGTCTTATACAAAGAGAAAGAGATTTATTCTGGGTGGTGTGCTACGACAGCCCGTCATAATTTTAGACCAAGAATGTTTTGTTTCTCCTGATGTATGCTCAATAATCCAGGCAGAAAAATCTAAAAAAGTTAAGTCAGGTCCTCTGGATGTTCAAAAAACAAACTATAATGTAGAAACGTTTTGTCTTTCATCCGAAAGACTTCTTCAGCCAGAATGAAGAAGTCTTTCGGATGAAAGTTATTGATGAAAGTTATTTCATCCGCCTGCTATTGAGAAAGTAGTAGGTGTAAGAAGGGTTATTTTCGAAAATTGGGTTGCCATACCAGAATCCACGATGGCTACTGCCATGAATGTCCATCCGTGTTGTGAACATAACTTGAAAAATAAGTAAGCCACCAACTTCTGTTCTATTTCGTATAGGCTTTGGCCTTTAAGGCTGTTGCTGATGGGTTTTATCCCGATATGCGTAGCATCACACTGAAAAATTTAGTCCACGCCCACCTGCTGTGTGGGCCCCACCCGGTCCGTATAAATTATGTTAAGAGCGGGTAATCAGCTCCCATTTTTCTTCAGTGAGCTAATAGCACTGTCAGAAGAACAAAGAAGGAAAGTTGTGTGACCAACCTTTATTAAGAATGCTTGGTCCGTCACGTCGACCTCCGGTCATCCCGGTGAGCTCTCCTCCCCGAGGAGAAGCTGACGAGCAGTCTTGTTTCAAGGTAAGCTCCGAGGAGTATTTCTCAGTGACAGGTCGCTACACGCTGGACAACGCCATCTTGTAATTTTCCTTTTATCGCAGACCCTCGGAGCGAATCGGATGGTTCCTCCAGGACAGGCTACGTCAGCTGCAGCCCCGCTGCTCATTCCCTCCTGGAGAGCGTAGTGTTGGTGGAAGGGGGCTGAGCGAATGCTCACCTCATCCCACCTCGTTTTGCATCGGCGATAACACCGCTCCCGGCCGATTCCACCCTCTGGGGTTTTTGCCCGGCATAACCCCGGAGGTGGCTGACACGAAGGGACCCTTTTTTACGTCCCGCGCCTTATCCGCCAGTTCGGGAAGGTTTTTTTCTGGGCTTCATCCCGGCTCGCCGTCCTGATCCCATCTGGCCTCGGTTTTCCCAACAGGACATCCTACGGGGACGAGGCCACAGCCGTTTTCCTGGTAGATTGGGGGGGGGCGGCTTCCACAGTCCGCGCCCATCACCAGAGTAAAGGGGCTTTCACCGAGCGGAAATTCCCTCAGTGCCCCCTGGAGCCGAGCCTGACGGAGACTTTTCTCGGAGCAAGATGTCCAGGTGGACCAGCGTCCCGTGCCTCCTGTTAGCGTAACCCAGATGGTGACACCGCTCTCCGACCAAGCTCACCAGCATGCGTTTCAGACGGCCGCAGCAAACAACACGTTACGCGGTTGGCATACATGTTCAGAGGCAGGAAGAGACGTACGTTCCCTCTGCAGGGCAGCTGACGTCATCCTCAACCAGTGCGCCTCTTTTGCTGTCTGCCGGCCCGCATCTTAGCCGGAGGACAGAGTTTTCAGCGTTTCCCTGAGACCGCCAACAGATGGCGCTCTAGGACACCAAATGGCAGAGCAAATGACGGTTTTTGCAGAGGATGTGTGTGAAGGTGACACAAGTTTGGTTTAAAACATCATTTAATGATGAAAGTGTCTATTTTTAGCCAGTCTGTCAGCTCGGATGACCTGACAGCGGCTCCCTCTCACATCCTCCACACGAAATGAACCGGTGGCAAGACGTTCCACGGCTGTCTCGCTGAACGTCACCGCAGCCCCGCCCGTCTGAGACCGGCTCTCTTCATCCCGGCAACAGAGTGTCTAACGTTTTCCCAGAGATCCCCAACAGACGGCGCCCTGGGCCAACAAATCCCAGAGCTCACGGGGGGAAAAGATTCAAAATGACGGTCTGCGGAGGGTGTGTAGAAAGATGACACAATGTTGAAATAAAACATCATTCAATGATCAAAGTGTCTGTTTTTAGTCAGTCTGTAAGCTTGTATGAACTCACAGTGGCTGCGCACACATCCTCCACAAAAACTAGCCGGTATCCTTAAATAAAGGTTTTTCAAACTCACCGTTGCTCCAGACACGACGAGACGCTCACAGAACACAACAGTGGTAAGCGAAATAACTCGTAGTCAACCCGAGCTGCACGATCTTCACCCAAGCGGTGTCAAACGCGCACTCGCGCGACGCAAACAGCCTTCACCCAAATGGCGTTGCGTTGATGATGGTGCACACACAGCTCCCCGGCGTTCACCGGCTCACAGCGGCATAAATGTGGGGCTGCAGGTCGGGTCAGTGGAGGACCTTGCTCTCAGCGAGAGCGACACGCGCCGCACCGAAGCAAACATGTGCTGCTGCGGTGGGGGCAGTCTTCACTCACCACTCCTCAGCACTCGGCCGCTCACGTCAGCATCAGCGTGAGAGAGCTGAGCAAACCCAGGGACGAATCTTGCCCCAGCGAGAGCGGCGTGCGTCCCACCAAAGAAAACGCGTGCTCCCGCGGGGCTCGCAGCCTTCACTCAAACGGCACGTCGTAGATGAAGTCGCGTTCACCGCTTCTCAGCACCCGTGTGCTCATGTCAGCAAAATTGCGGGATTGCAAAGCAAGCCCAGCGCAGGACCCCGCTCGCGGCAGGAGCGACACACGTTTTTCACCGCAGTGGTGTCAAACGCGCGGCCCAGCAGCGTCATCAGCTGTCACACGCTTCTCCTCAACACAAGGTGGACCCGCGGTCCGAACGCAGCACACAGGTGCGTTCAAAACCCTTTCGAGAAGCCTCGCCTTGGGTCACACGGAACACATTCCCGTGACACATGACGACGGTCGAGGCGGTGGACTGGATGACAACCGTACAAAACATGACGCATCACTTAAATGCGCGTCCACTCCACGAACGTTACGCGGAGTGGCTAAAAACATGCTCGCCAGACAGATGGATGGCCAGGTTGTTAAGCTAGGGTTACACATTGCAATTTGCAACCCGACCCCCTCCGTTCAGAGGAATTTTAGAGACAGTCCTGTCATCACCAGACCAAATCTCATTCCTTAATGCAGAAGTTCAAGAACTTCTAGTAAAAGAGGTAATCTCCAAAGTTCCCAACGGAGAGGAAAACACAGGGTTTTTACTCACGTTACTTCCTAGTTCCCAAACAGAACGGAGGGACGAGACCCATTTTGGATCTGTCAGTTTTCAACAGGGCGTTCATGGACAGACCGTTTCACATGTTGACAACCAGACAGCTGTTGGACAACATCCAGAGAAACGACTGGTTTGTTTCCATCGACCTAAAGACGCCTACTTGGCACATACCGATCATCCCAAAACACAGGAAATTCCTGTGTTTCTCCTTTCAGGGAATGAAATATCAGTACAACAGGCTGCCGTTGGTTATTCCCTCGCGCCTCGTACGTTCTCAAAGTGTGTGGAGACGGCCCTGCATCCGTTACACAGAGCAGGGATGAGAGTTTTGTTTTACCTGGACGACCTGTGGCTGTTGTCACGCTCCAGACAGGAAACAGCGATGTGGGCTCAGGTGCTGAAATCATACCTGTTAAATTTGGGCTTCGACATAAATTGGAAGAAAAGTTCGATTCTCCCAGCCCAGACAATTGTTTATCTGGAAGTGGAGCTAAACTCAACCACCATGAGGGCTCGTTTATCACAAACGAGAATCGACACTCCAAAAGACCAGCTCCGCCACATAAGACATGGCAGAGTGATAACAGCTGTTTCTGCCATGAAGCTGTTGGGAACGATGTCATCAGCTCACACAATGTTTCCGCTGGGTTTACTCCATATGAGACGCCTCCAGAGGTGGTTTGCACGTCTGTGTGTGGATCCAGTAAAACAAAAGAGACGGATGATCATTGTTCCTCCCTCCGTGAGAGTAGACCTCCGACAGTGGGAAAACACCCTGGTTCTGTCGGAGGGAGTCCCCGTCAGCAGACCCACGTCACACGTGTCAGTCTTCACAGACGCGTTGCCGTCAGGTTGGGGGAAGACATGCCTATATTAAGCTGTAGGGGCGCTGTGGCCCCATCACACATCAGCCCACAAATGTTTTTGGAGTGTCGCACGGTTCTGAACGTGATTCAACACTTTGCTCCTGTGCTGCAGAATCAACACGTTTTGATTCACACAGACAACAAGGTTACTGCTGCGTACATAAACCGGCAGGGGGGGGTGCGCTCAGCCAGATGTTACACATTGCGCAAAAACTACTGTGTTGGGCACACCTAAATCTGCTCTCCATCAGAGCAGTGTACAGTCCCGGTGTTCTGAACAAAGGGGCAGATGTGATGTCCAGGGGCGGCCCACGTCACTGGGACTGGACTCTCCATCCAGACCTGATGGCTCAGACATGGCAGAAATTTGGCAAAGCAGCCGTGGACCTATTTGTGACACGAGAAAATGCTCAGTGTCAACTATGGTTTTCTCTAAGCCCGCGAGACGAACCACCGCTGGGGGTGGACGCGTTGCCTACAGCCCATGGCCAAAACGCTTCTTTACGCATTTCCTCCGCCTCCTTTGATTTTACGGTTCTTGAACAGAGTTCAGGAGGAGGGATTGACAGCTCTCCTGGTGGCCCCCGAGCGCATGAACGCACCATGGTTCCCAGTCCTGCGACGCCTGCTATCGGGGCACCCGTGGAAACTGCCGTGGAGGGAGGACGCTCTCCTCCAGGCGGGAAGAGCGATCAGGAGTTACCCAGAAATAGGCCAGCACCTGTGGGTCTGGCCGCTGAGCGGACCCGCTTAGAAGGGATCTGTCTCCCACAGGATGTAGTGCGCACAATTCAGGATTCACGTGCTACATCTACCACAGCGCTGTACACATCAAGTGAACAGTTTTTCAGCGCTGGTGTACAAAGAAAGGTGTAGAGGCTACCTCATGTCCACTAGGCGATGTGCTGTCCTTTCTGCAACAGCTGATGGACAGAAATTTGGCGTCCAGTACGATTAATGTACGCTGCAGCCATTTCTTCCTGCCACGAAGGGTTCGGAGACAGAACAGCTTTTAATCATCCGCTGATGAAGCGTTTTCCAAAAGGTGTACAAAGACGCAGGCCTGTTTCACACCCACTTGCTCCACAGTGGGATTTAACGCTGGTCCTGTGAGCCCTGATCAAAGCTCCATTTGAGCCTCTGGATCAGGTCCCAATTAAATTCTTGTCTCTCAAAACAGCCCTGCTGCTGGCTTTAACATCTGCTAAGAGAGTGAGTGATTATCTGCCTTCTCTGTCGCTCCATCATGTCTCAGAATTCAGGCTGACGGCAGCTCAGCTGATCTAAGACCAAATCCAGCTTTTATGCCTAAAATATCACAAGCTCTTTTAAATCAAGAGCGATATCGTTGGAGGGGTTTTTCCCTTCCCCCCACAAATCAGAGGAAGAAGCGTTTTTCCATCTTCTCTGTCCGGTGCGGGCGTTGATGTGTTACATAGCACGCACAGCTGCAGTGCGTCAACATTTGTTTGTGCATTATAGAGATGCATCTGTAGGTCGCCCATTATCCACCCAGCGCTTGTCACACTGGCTGTGTGAGGCCTTGTCTGAAGCCTACAGAGCATCAGATTTAGAGCCTCCTGTCAACCTCATGGCACACTCGATCAGGGGTGTTGCATCTTCGACTGCTTTGCATAATGGTATGACAATGCAGGATATTTACACTGCGACTGTGTGGTTTACACCCTACTTATTTATTCACTTTTATCTACGTGATGTGACGGCCCGTTCCATGACACATTCTGTCCTTAGTGTTTTACAGAATGAATATTGTTGTTTCATGGAACTCCGTTTAACTCACATCTGGCTGCATGCATTACAGTGTGAGATGTAGTTATCAGTCACAAGTTGTGATTGTTATTTTGGTTCTATTATCACTAATCAGTTCATGATTATTGTTACCAATCAGTTCATTTGATTATAATCAGCTCTCCTGTTATTATTAATCTGTTCATACTGTTCAGCCATGAACCAGTTGGTTCATGGCTCCTTTCAGCACTTTTCCCTCCCCGTTGAAATTTTTCCGGGGCGTTAATGCATTCAGAACGCATAGTTACACAACATGCGTCTGTGCATGGCACACATAATTACGCAATGCGTAATTACGTACATGGGGAACTGAGTGGCAAGACGTTTTTTGGGCAAGCTTCTGCTTCATACGGTGTTCGAATGGACCCAGTGAGGCGAGGACCACATCTGCTTCGCCCTTAACCCATCAGCGACAGCCTTAAAGGGCGAAGCCTATACAAAATAGAACGTTGGTTACGTACTGTAACCCCAGATTCTATGAGTAGCCCTTTAAGCGTCGGGCCGCACTGGCTCCTAAATGGCTGAAGAAAAAGCTATTTGGGAGCCGATTACCCGCTCTTAACGTAATTTATGCGGACTGGGTGGAGCCCACACAGCAGGTGGGCGTGGACTAAATTTTTCAATGTGATGCTTCGCATATCGGGATAAAACCCATCAGCGACACCCTTAAAGGGCTACGCCTATACTCATAGAATCTGGGGTTACAGTACGTAACCAATGTTTTGGTGTGTAGCTGCATCTAGGCATAAGAAAGGTTCACCATCAAAAATTGGGTTGTCGCAGATTTTGCGTTGTCAAAATCTAAGATGACCACTACCATGGTTTTTCTATGGTGGCCAAAGCCAACAATGGCCACCCTATGGTTCAGCTGTTGCACCTAGTCATGGATAAATTTACTCCCTCCACTCGCCAGGATCCGTCACTCTGTGCTACCTCAGACAAACAAAATAATAATAATAAATCTATTAAACTCTGTACTTCCCCACAGTGTAACTCCTACCCACTTGAATCTCTTGCACAAAAAAATTAAGGTTTATTTGCATTCCCTGTTCAATATCAGTACAGAAAAACTCAGCTCCAAAAGTACAAACATTTAATATTCAAATCTCTCAACATTGGCGTACCACCTGTTTGAGTTGCGTTGCTGCCTCAGATTCCCAATTCCATTATTGTTACCTAAACATGCTTTTGTGTCTTAGTTTAAACATGTGATCTGTTTACTGTTCCATTGTGAATAAAATGAGTGTATCAAGTCATTGCATTCAGTTTTTCATTACATTTTATAGAACATGTAATTGGGGTTGTACCATGCATCTGCATGTTATGTCCAAATCAGACTTGTCTTTGAACTGGGCTCAACTGTTTTTGTCAGTAAGTGTATTTTGTATGTTAAGGTATAGGAAAAACTATTAATCCGGCTGATGGACACCATACATTTTTCTTTTGAAGATTAATGTTTAGGATTTGTCGTGTGATTCAGGTTTTGCCGTTTCGAGCGCGGGTGCTGCGAGCATTGGCTCAGCCACTGGATGACAGGAAGAGGATGGTGAGGAAGGAAGCAGTTCAGGCCCGAGGAAAGTGGTGAGAATCAGATTTTACTGTCAAAGATGTGGGTCTCATTCTCAGAAAATGGATCTAACTCTCATGTGAAAATACTTTGTTTTCCTCCATCCACATGTTTGTATTTTCTTTACAGGTTCCTCCTAGGAAGTCCTGTGGGGAGGTGATCCTGAGGTTTTTTTAGATCAACTAAACTAAGATGAAACTGAAACTTCAGGACCAAGAAGCAAAGCTGTGTAATCTCTTGCACAGCTTCCTCTCTTTGCATAAACTCTCCTGGATCTCTCGTCATCCTTCTTGTCTTTTATATCTAATTTCTCCACATTTTTATTTTTATTTTTGGAAGCTTGGGATGATAAAAGATTTTTCTAATTATCTCAGCTAAATAAATGGCAATAAGAGCAGCTTTGCTGTTATACATAAACACAAATTCCACATGAATAAATAATTCAACATTCAATCATAAATTAACCATTTAGTCAGGTTTCGAGTTTTTGCCTTCTTTCAAACAAACTCCAGCCTTAAAAATGAGCCGATGGACAACATTCTTCATGTTTCTGTCCTTTTCTGTACATTAGGGTTGAAATGTTGACACTGATATTTTGATTTGTCCACTGCTGAAAATGTAAAACTTGAAAGGAGGTATATTTGCAGTCACACAGGACAAGTCCAAAGGTTCATCTTTGTAATGTAATTATTTTACATTTTTAATGTTTAGTAAGTGCATAAAATATTAAGAGTTCAGTTGTAGCGAATGCACACGGGCAATGAAGGTTTTTAAAGTGTGCAGTGTACCACTGCTTGGTAAATGGGACAGTATGATTGTCCTGTCCCACTCATTGGCCACTTTACCAGTTACACCCGTGCAGGAAATTGACTTGCCTTTGCCTTCAGAACTGACTTGTTTTGTGTTCTAACAAGATGGTGGAAACATTTCTCAGAGTTTCTGTCTCATATTTTGGGAATATCTTCCATGTAGCCGTGAAGGTTGTGAGCACAAAGACCTTGACAAATAAATGAGGTGCCATCTTCTATTTTGATGTGTGACTGCATTGAGGTGTTAAAAAAAAAAGTATGTTTCGAAAATTAGGTAGCAACGTCAACTTCCAAGATGGCCACTACCGTATTTATAGGTATCATTTGAGGAAACTGTTTTAATGTACGTATTTTTCGGACTATAAGGCACAGTAAGTGAAGCAAACTTTTTAACAGATTTTTGAGCAGTGTACCACATAAAATCAGTTTGAGGGCAGTAAGCACAACCGGAATTAATACATAAAGCGCACAGGATTATAAGGCTCACTGTTTTGAAAAAATTAAAGGATTTCAAGTGTGCTTTATAGTCCGAAAAATACTGTATATTTACCTCGAATGATTAGGATGGCTGTTGGGTCACAAGCACTGGGTCTCAGTCTAATCCAGCACCTTTGGGATGTGGTGGAATGAGAGATGTGTGGTGTTAGCCTGGTTACCTCGGCACTCACCCCCACCACTTGTAGGGGTGGAGATTTTTTTAAGGGTAGATGTGGAAAAGCTTGTGACTGTTGTGTTTAAAATGAGTGTTTATGTACAGTAATTATTTTCAGATTACATACCCAGTGTAGGTTTTATTCATTCAAGGCAGCCACATTTTTTCATAACTTTTTTATTAGTAGGCCTGAGTTACCAGATCCAAGCAGATATCGGAACGCACCCTGTTTCATCAGGATCCACCTCAAATTAAGTCCTCCCAATGGTGCTGTATTAGACAGACCCAGTGATTGTGGAGGCTTATGGTCTTGTTAAACTATGAAATGTTTTTTCAAGTCTCTTACTGTTCAGTGTTTGAGAGCTTGCATGAACTGTAGCCTCAATTTCTTGTTCTTAGCCACTAGAAATAAGACCTGCTGCTGTTTTGACTGGTCTGGCTTTGACCCACCATCACCCCATTAATGACAAGCCATGACCCAAATCAAGGACATGTTTCTACTTTTAAAATGTATTTAAAAAAGAGATTATCCAGGTTAAACCAGAGCTAGTAAATGCATGTTTTCCGACAATCCTTATTTTATTTTTCCTGTCATGAAGGCAGCTGTTGTGATACTGACACGTGTCCCAGCCTGTGTCCACTGAACTCCAGTACACGTCCACACAGCGGAAAGTGTCCTCTGCAGCCATAGTACGGTGTTCTTTATGCAGAGAAATGACCTGGTCCACACGTCTCCTGGTGAAACTGCTCTGTCTGTGGATTCATCCATTTGGTCACTTCATGTGAGCTGTGCCGTTGTTTCATCAGTCACTTCCTTAGTTTGCCTACTCGTGTCTTATCAATGATATTTATTGGTTGAAGATTGATCAAACACCCCTACAAACATGGCTGCAGGTGGTGTCTTCTGCAGCAGTGTGGGGTTTCTTGAACAACCCTATAAACCACAAGTTGTGTGGGAAATAGACCAGATCGAGCCACAGTCAGTCCAATACATCTTCCCTGTTCTGTTTGAACTTCAGCTCGTTTCACTGCATGTGGAGTCGCTGCCATATAACTGTGCTGTCAATCAATTGAACAAGTGTAGCTAATAGAGTGGCTAGTGAGAATGAATAACTTGAACAGATTTGACATGATTGTCTGAACATGAATGTGTTGTATGTTTTATAAAAAGGCTTATATGAATGAGTCAATTAACTTCTTGAATAAACTGTCATTTATACTCAAAGATTTAACATTATTTTGAATCATATCACCTGAAAATAAAAGCACAGAGTCAGAAATACAAAGTTTAATTTTAAATCAAACTGGAGCACAGGTTCTGATCACATCAAAACCATCAGATTTATAAGGCAACCACAAGTCCAGCTTCTACATCCTGAAGCCATTCAAATGAATATCGAGTCATTTCCTGCGTTCATCACAGTGAACAGATATTAAACTTACTAACAGAATTTTATATATATATATATATATATATATATATACACACACACACACACACACACAAACCGGATTCCAAAAAAGTTGGGACACTAAACAAATTGTGAATAAAAACTGAATGCAATGATGTGGAGGTGCCAACATCTAATATTTTATTTAGAATAGAACACAAATCACAGATCAAAAGTTTAAACAGAGAATGTATCATTTTAAGGGAAAAATCTGTTGTTTCCTAATTTCATGGTGTCAACAAATCCCCAAAAAGTTGGGACAAGTCCATTTTTTACCACTGTGTGGCATCCCCCCTTCTTCTTACAACACTCAACAGACGTCTGGGGACAGAGGAGACCAGTCTGTCAAGTTTAGAAATAGGAATGCTCTCCCATTCATGTCTAATACAGGCCTCTAACTGTTCAATCGTCTTGGGCCTTCTTTGTCGCACCTTCCTCTTTATGATGCGCCAAATGTTCTCTATAGGTGAAAGATCTGGACTGCAGGCTGGCCATTTCAGTACCCGGATCCTTCTCCTACTTAGCCATGATGTTGTGATTGCTGCAGAATGTGGTCTGGCATTATCGTGTTGAAAAATGCAGGGTCTTCCCTGAAAGAGATGACGTCTAGATGGGAGCATATGTTGTTCTAGAACCTGAACATAGTTCTCTGTATTAATGGTGCCTTTCCAGACATGCAAGCTGCCCATGCCACAAGCTCTCATGCAACCCCATACCATCAGTGATGCAGGCTTCTGAACGGAGCGTTGATAACAACTTGGGCTATCCTTGTCGTCTCTGGTCCAGATGACATGGCGTCCCAGTGTTCCATAAAGAACTTCAAATCTTGACTCATCTGACCACAGAACAGTCTTCCATTTTGCCACACTCCATTTTAAATGACCCCTGGCCCAGTGCAAACGTCTGAGCTTGCTTAGAAATGGCTTCCTCTTTGCACTGTAGAGTTTCAGCTGGCAACGGCGGATGGCACGGTGGATTGTGTTCACCGACAATGCTTTCTGGAAGTATTTCTGAGCCCATTCTGTTATTTCCTTGACAGTGGCATTCCTGTTTGAGGTGCAGTGATGTTTAAGGGCCCGGAGATCATGAGCATCCAGTAGAGTTTTACGGCCTTGACCCTTACGCACAGCGATTGTTCCAGATTCTCTGAATCTTTTGATGATGTTACGCACGGTTGATGATGATAACTTAAAAGTCTTTGCTATTTTACGCTGGGTAACACCATTCTGGTATTGCTGCACTATCTTTCTGCGCAACAATGGTGGAATTGGTGATCCTCTTACCATCTTGGCTTCTGAGAGACACTGACACTCTGAGAAGCTCTTTTTATACCCAATCATGTTGTCAATTGACCTAATTAGTGTTAATTGGTCTTCCAGCTGTTTGTTATATGCTCAATTTCCTTTTTCCAGCCACTTATTGCTACTTGTCCCAACTTTTTTGGGATTTGTCAACACTGTGAAATTTTGAATCAACATATTTTTCCTTTAAAATGTTACATTTACTCAGATTAAACTTTTGATCTGTCATCTATGTTATATTACAAAAAAAATATTGACATTTGCCATCTCCACATCATTGCATTCAGTTTTTATTCACAATTTGTTTAGTGTCCCAACTTTTTTGGAATCGGGTTTGTATGCATGTATGTACATATGTTTGGATGTTTTAGTTTTGTTTCTCCCCTTAAACCAGGTGAAAATCTAGTCGAATATCTTTTTGGCACAACATCAGATCACCTTCCACTCAGAGCAGACATTTATTAAAATGTAAACATGTAGTTAACAAAATAATTTCAATAATGTTGAGGCTTTTATCACAAAACCTTTACTTAAAAAAAGATTTTAAATGCTTTCAGCAGCGTCTGACAGCCCCCAACCACACATCACTTGGATACATCAACAACTACAGCGACAGGAGAAACAACATATCTGAGCTCAGACTGACAGGAACAGTGATGCTCACATGAAAATAAAAGTGCAAGGCTGTGGGAACTGTGGTGCTGCAGCATCTTTCCCACAACCATGTTGAAAAACCAAACATTCAAACATGTTCACACTTGTCCCTTGGGTCAAATGGCCACAGGTAGTGGGCCAACTTCCAAGTGAACAGAGTAAACTACCTGTCTAAACCAAAGCTGCTTCGTGCTGTGCAGGACTGGAGACGTGAGGCTGTACATGAACTAACTGGTGCAAAACAACGAGCGCTCCTATAGAAAGGAGCCAGCTGGTTTCAGTTTGGTCCTCGTTTCGACCGGCATCTGATCCTGGACATCAATAATTCAAGACCGTATTCAACATTATTAACTCAGATGAGGCAAAGAGGAGCTTTTTGGATCCACTTGTCTCATCTCCCCATTAACAGATAACTTGTGAAGAAAAGATCACTAGAACTACCATGAAAAGGTCCAGTTTTGTTTTGGGACCATTTTGCTGCATCAGGAGAAGAACCTCAGGGCGCGACGTGATCTTGAAACGATCACGGCATCCTGGATGAAAACATGCTCTCCAGGGTCAGAGAGCCGCCTCAGTGGCAGCTCGTGGATTATTCAACAAGACCTGAATGACCCAAAACAGCTAAAAGCATCTCACATCCATAGAAAGATCTGAAGACTGCAGTGTCCTTCAAACGTGACACAAGTTGAGCAGTTTGATCAGAGAATGGGCCAAGCTCCCCGTTAGTAAAATAACACATTGTCACAGTTGTCAGATTCTTACAAGATACCGCTTCAAAATCTTAAATTTAGATCTACCATTAAACTGTACCCTTTCATTTCATCGGTGCAGCTGGTAGAGCTGCTGCCTCTCAGCGAGAAGATCGCCAGTTCAAATCCGGCCAGGGACCTTTCTGGGTGGAGTTTGCATGTTCTCTCTGTGCACATTTCTCCAGGTACCCGTTTCCTCCCACTGTCCAACAACATGCATGTTAGACTGACTGGTAACTCTAAATTGTCTCTAGGTGTGAGTGAGAGAGTGAACGTTTGTTTGTCTCATTTGTCTCCATGTGTCCCTGTGATGGACTGGAGACCTGTCCAGGGTGTCCCCCGCCTCTTGCACGGTGACTGCTGGACATGGGCACCAGTGACCCAGAAAGGAAGAAGCTGGTAAAGATGATGGATGGAATGTTTCCATTTCTTTAGTTATATGAAATAATCCAACTGAATCAATAAAATCAGAGTATGACTTGTGTTAAAAACCTACAGATAAAAATAATCCCGTGTGTACTGGCCCACAGAGGTCCAGATATCTAAAAACATTAAAAGACCTGTAAGGTTGACTTCTGCTCTTGTGAACAAGAGACCCACCAGTGCAAACTCAGATGTAGCAGACAGATTTAGGAGAACAACCTTATTATTAACCAGTCATATAAAACTTGAACCAACTGATTAAACTGCAGCTCGCATCACCTTTGATATGTTTGTTTTCCAGGCTCCTACATTAACACATTTGGTTCACATGTTCAATCAGTGCAAAAAAAAAAAAACATGTATACAGTAGTTCCTTGTTTATCGTGGGGATCTGTGGGCGGCTGTGGCTGAGTGGTAGAGCAGTCGTCCTCCAATGCAAGAGTCGGGGGGTTCGAATCCACCAGCAGTCACATGACGAAGTGTCCCTGGGCAAGACACTGAACCCCTAGTTGCCTCTGATGTGTGTCCTATCGGTGTTTGAATGTGATAAAGCTCTGATTAGTCTCTTTAGAATGATTTGTTCAATTAGCTTTGTAGAGATCCAGTACAGTGCTGTATGAATGGGTAAATGAGGCACAGATTGTAGTGTAAAGAGCTTTGAGTATCTTGAAATAAGATAGAAAGGCGCTATACAAGTACAGTCCATTTACCATTTACCCTGAAGCCCCACAACAAGTGAAAAACCTCAAAGTAGGAACAGTAGTACAAGTAATAATTTTAGTATTTATACAGTAGTCCCTCGCTACTTCATGGTTCGTTTTTCGCATATTCGATATATATATCACAGTTTTTCTAAGTAACATTGGACATGACACAGTTGGCTGACTGATAGATGAGACATGGGTTGTTTATTTAAAATGAATTATTTCAAATGATTTTGCACCATATGTGTAGCCCACAAGTGAAGGGGGAAGCTCCCTCCTGCAGCTGATCAGCCGATCTCCTTCACTGTCACGCACACACATTTCTGCTGCTGCAGCTTTGTGAAGATGTCCTGCTGCACTGCTCTACAATTTAAATTTGAATACTGTAACATTTTAAACAATCCATGCTGCATGGATCGTTTAAAATGTTAAACAATTTAAATTTAAATACTGTATTTAAGGAGGAAGACTGGAAGTAACAGAAGTGTGACTGCAGCCTGGCACGTCGTGACAAAGTTTACTGAACATGAACTACTGTATCCATACTTCACCGTTTTTTCACGGGGTGGGCGTGGTCCCAAACACACGATAAATGAGGGATTACTGTATATATATATATATATACATATGTATGTATGTATGTATATATATATGTATGTATTGCTGCATACAATACAGCAATCCAATATATATATATATTATATTATATATACATATATATATATATATACACATATATATATACACATATATATATAATATATATATATATAATATATATATATATACATATATATATATATATACATATATATATATATATATATCTATACACACACAT